TAACGGCAAAAATACAATAAAAAACTGCGGTTGCCAACCCGCTCGCCAAGCGTGGCAACTATGGCAATATACCCCCCATGATTAAAGTTACGAAGAGACGGCCCCCAGTCCCTGGCGGCCCCGCTATTCCTGGCTACGGTGGCGACCATGGTAACGGCGGGGCAGGGGGTGCTAAGAATCTCCGGTGAAGGTTCGGTTGCCACCTACGACGACTTGACCTGGCAACATACAACGCACGCACCCTGAGGACTGACGAGAAGATTGTGGAGCTGGAAGAAGAGATAGACAAGTTACGCTGGCATATTATAGGATTATCCGAAGTCCGAAGAGAGGGGGAGGACACGGTAATCCTCGAATCCGGAATCTTGCTCTATTACCGGGAGGGCGACCATCTGTCCCAAGGAGGTGTCGGATTTATCGTCCACAAGTCTCTCGTTAACAACGTTGTAAAAATCGAGTGTGTCGACGAGGGTTGCGTACCTTATACTCAGAATGACCAAACGGTATTCGCTGAAGGTCATACAGGTTTACACACCAACCTCGGCACATCCCGAGGAGGAGGTGGAGTTGTTACATATGTGTACCGATATCTTACATGACACCAGGAAGTCACCTAACATACAGCACCGCCTGCTAAAGCAAACTACAGCACGGCGTGACTAAATTCACTTACGTGACTTAATAATGTTTAACATAGTGCCATCAGGAAGTCACCTACCTTACAGCACCGCCCGTTAAGCAAATAACAGCAAGACTTTTACGTGACTCAAGAATATTCAACATAGTATAAAACCTAGGGCTAACGGTTAATTCAGCCCATTAGTAGTTGTTAGTTTGTAAGTAAGGTAATCTAGTATCACTGTGAACTCACATTGTCCACAGTAGTTCAGTTGGTTTGTAATCCGTTATTCCTGTGTACTCACATTGTCACAGTAGTTAAGTTAACTTGTAAGTTAGACAATAAAAGTAATATACGAAAACATCTTAGTCTCCTTCCACTTCAACCCTCCCTAATCTGCCACAAACGTAAGTACCATCACACGTCCCTTTGTTTGCAAACAAAATCATATTCTTAGAAAAATAATGAAAAGGTCAATTGTAAATAATACATCAAATCAATATACGGTTATTTTTATGTGGTATAATTATATGGATTTGGGACTAATTAACAAACGACTGTCACATTCATAGTAAATATATATCAGAAAAGCATACATTTTTCAAATCGTTTCACAATCCGCAAAATCCATACCAGTATGTATGTGTTAGAAATATTTTTGTTCGTTTCAAACTTACATAACTATATTTTTTAAAACTTCACGTAAGGACTAAAGATTCATTGAACATTACAATTGCACTCAAAAAATACCAACGATTAATATTTTTAAAACTCCCATTAAAATTCTAATTGGAAATAATATATTGAAGTGGCAACATTTGATTTCATAAGCTGGTCATACTTACCATCGTACCATAGAGCAATGTATGCTTCTCCATTACATGCGTAGATGGAGGATTGACTAGATAAAGCATTCGCGTATGCTTTTGAGATAGAAATAGGCGGGAGGTACTTTCACTGGGTTACCAGATAGTGTTCCATTTCCCCCGTTATGGGTTTATTTATATTCACAACACTTACATTCATACAAAAAATTTAATTATTACCATAAAAAATGTTCTTTTATAATTCAGATGATTAATTAATTTCTCTTGAAAATACATTCTGTGGCTAAAAACTACGGGCGAAACGGCGTCATTTGACGGCGCCGTTGAAAACAGAATCATCATTCTGTATTCAACGGCGCATCGACGATTTTACTGGACATTCAATAACTCTTTGGATTTCGACGGCACCAATAGCACAAAGTGTGATATCGCTAATAAATAACAATATGTTATGTATGTACTTAAATATTAATTGAGAGTAAAAATATTAAATAATAAACAAAAATTTCCTTCGTCGAGTTTTGTTCTTTTTACAAAAAAAAAATCAATAATGTTTTAACATATCATTCCATCACAAGTTCAGTGCTGAACACAGACCTTCGAAAGAAAAGGGTTTCCACTTAGGTTTTGTAGTACAAAACACGGTTATTGAGCCTACTCCCGCGATTTCCTGCATGTTTTGCTAAGTTAGTGTCTTGTGTGCGGCAAGTTGTGGCGTACAAGAGAATTTGTCTGTGCACGGGATGATATTACCGCGCGTCGTAAGCAATAATACAAGATGGGGATGAGGCAGCAGCACTTTCCCGATGAAAACTTAAAATAATAAAAAACTGCGGTGGCCAACCAACATAACACATATTTAAAACTTTGTGAGGTTACGATTGTATGAATACTTTTAATGAGGCCTACAATAACTACCAACTGAAAAATAAGTGAACTTAGTAGGTTAGAAAGATTCTCCCTGCCTATCCCGCAAATGAAAAAGTGAAGCTATAGTAGTACTGCATATATAAGTCGTTTTCTTCATAAAATGTTTTTTTTAACAGTTCACAATAACATTACTGAGTTATAATAATACAGCTAGTTTTAGATCATTTTCTATGGAGTTGTAACAAAATTTTTACTAATCCAAGTGCATTTTATAACGACGGTCGATTATTACTCGTTAAGTTCTTAAATCTACTTAGCTGTGATGTTTCCTTTTAACTTCATTTTATATACTAATATCGTGTATACTTTCATATTTTCAAAAACAGCTGTTTTGGTTTAGGAGGGGGGACACATCACTCCAATAAAAATACCACTTTAAAGTTGTGTTGAACCCACAGTGTTTTTGAAAGATCTATCCAACGATACCCCACACGATGGAATATACGGGTAAAAAGTCACCCTCCTTTTACTTGTATGGGAAGTACCCAAAATAAAATGTTCTTCAAGATTTTATTTGTCTTTTAGGCTGTTATTGTGTGATTGATATCTAACTATGCCATATTACAGATTTATAGCGCCTAGGGCCTCTGAAAAAAAACCGCGGACGGACGGACGGACATGGCGAAACTATAAGGGTTCCTTGTTGTGTAACTACGGAACCGTAAAAATAATGTTTTATAATATTGTTAGGAATGATGGTAAAAAGATAAAATGAAGAAATGCCGAAACCCGTTCTAACAGTATGAAGTATGACGCAGGCGACTAATAGGGATCAATCGGTAATTCTACGAGTTTCACTGTCGTTACTATGCCCGCTGAGGTATTTATAGGCAAGGAAGGTCGTGTTGCTGAGTGGCTCCCCTGTGTTACATTGAGATGGGGTAGTGTTGTTGTTGGTTTGCATACTTTGGTGTCATCATATAACTGGGTCCTTCACGTTACACAGGTGTGTGATTGTGGGGGGAACACGTTACGGCTAGTCTAGTTAGGCTAGTTTCTTGCTGATAGTGATCGAGAGAAAGTTGAGCATCCTCTCTCACACCTTTGTTATTTTGGTAATTGGCATCCAGAATGTTTTCTAATAGTAAGGAGGGTTGGTTACCGAGTAGTGTTCTTGTATTTAAATAATATTGAGGATAATTTCTAACAATATTCCATTTTAATTTACCATTTAGTGGCAATGTAAGATTATCTACAACCTCATATCATCCCATGGGTGTTGTATGAGGCGACATAGGGAAACAACAAAGAAGATAAACAGCAGTATTTTCCTTATAACAGCTGATTAAAAAAAAACAGTACTTGTAAAGATAAAAATACTCTATTTAAACAAATAATTGAAATTGAAAAAGGAATTGCGTGCCTAAACAATATATAGGAATATTAACAACGTTACATTAAGTTACGGTTACCAACTCCAAATTAAAAAAAAAAACTAGGATTTGAAGTTGGAAAAACCAGGATAATTCAGTTTAAAAACAGGACGCAGTAAAGGTCTTGTCAAACATTACTGCGAACCGAACCAAACCGAAAACATAGCGAATGTATGTACTATGTATGCAAGTATCGGTTCGTTTTCGTTTTCGCTTCGCCACGCTATCGATTCTCTGTCTAGTGTTTATCTCATCAAATAATTTTTCGTCGTTAATTTCAATGCCGTGATCTTAAAAATACACGACTTTATCAGGACGCATTAAAAACCCAGGACGATGCTTAAAAACTATCCAGGACATCCAGGGACACTACAAAAACTAGGATGTCCTGGGAAAACAGGACGGTTGGCAACCCTACATTAAGTAAAACAAATGCAATCACAATTCTAAATTAAATGTAATTCAATAACATAAAAATAAACAAAAGACAATTTATAAATTTTTCATCACATTAACAAATCACAAAGTCAACAAGAACAAAATAATATGAAAGTAAATACTTATATTTACAATTAGATATATTGGGCATGTAATAATAATAACCAACAAAATAAAAAATAAAAGCAGAAAAATTTGAAAGTAAATACTTATTTCTACAATTTCTTCAAATTCTCAAAACGTTAACATCACCACCAGCACGGGATACACCCTGTTAATCAACAAACGGGGCTCTGGCAACTGAACAGGCGTTATACATATTCGAAAGCGGTCAGCCCACATCCCACCAACTAATAGGGAAGCAGCATAACACTAACGATGGCGAGCAGTATTATCAGTGCCCTGCGTAGGGAATATACGCGAACGTTTTAAATAATTCATGACAGTTGACATCTTCATAAATAGTATCCCGCAGTGGCCTTTTTTTATAGGATAGGGTGACAAACCAACACACAGTCCACTTGATGGTAAGTGGTTACTGTGACCCACAGACATCCACATCTATCCTCAATAAAGAATCAAAATGCAGATGCATTGTCATCCGTGAGGACTAAGATGGAATGCCTCTTTTCCAGTAAAAAGGGTCTCCGGTTCTTTACACTCACCACACGAAACACAGTGTTAGGCTGCTATTTTACGCTGGTATTTTGTGAGAGCCTGATCCTCTCCCGGTTGAGCACTCATTTGTGCGACAACTATACTACTAATATAGCTGCAATATGGCTCTACCACGTAAAAAGAATGACTGTATACTCATTGCCCTTTAAATATAATTAATTTTGTGTAAAAATTCCTAATTTTCTCGCCACTTTCAACAATTTTTTTTGTAGCATAGTGTATGCGAGCGTTCAAGTAATGTTTTGAAATACACTTAATTAAAAGAGGGTAATGATTATATATAACTCTTTCGGTGAAGTGTTCATCTGAAAATAATTTTAAATGTAAACATTTTTTAAGACATTGCTGCAAAATATAGTGCATTGAATTTTTTTTCCCGAACGGTTTATTAGTTCGGTATATTTTTTCTGCAATTTCACAAATTAAAACCACTTCTTTGGATGGATAATGTAATCCCCCTTTATCTTTTTTTAACTGTAAGCTTTTATATGGCTCCGGACTAACAAGAGCATCTAAACACTTAAAACATTTTATTTCTGACTGCATTTTATGAACAACGAATCCCGCTATATAAGTTATGACTTGTCGTGAAAATTCAGTTAAGATGGTAGGATCCATAACATAATCGTGATCACTTGGTACAACTGTAGAGTAATTTCCTTCAGTGGCGGTTTCCGACTCAATACAACGATTTCCAATAGTAGTGGCATTCAATGCTATTTCTGGTCGTGTAGCAGTCAAAATATTTATATCATCCAAAGCAACACAATTACCTGTTGTGATGTGTTTTAACTCTCCGTGGACAAGCATTCTTTTATAAGCCGCTTTAAACTGACGCGCAGTAGGATTATTATTGTAACCACCCTTTGCTCGGATGGCACTAAAAAAACATTCTATGTGGTCTTGACTTAGCTTGTATGTACAAAGAAATTGTATTTTTTTTGGTTGGACGTAATTTTCATAGAGAGAAAATAAGCTTTTGATACATAATAGAAAACCAAAAAAACCTGTCTTTCTCTGAGAATACAAAATAAGACTATCTTCATACTTCAAATTTTTTATATAATCATACAGATCATTTAAAAAAGTTTGTATATGATCAATATTTTTTTCAGAAATTGGTTGCTTGTATCCAAACGCTTTTAAATTTCGAGAATTCATCACATCAAATAAGGCATTGATATTTCGGATAAATTTAACTGTTCCACCACAATCTGAAAATTCATTTAAGTTCAAGTTGTCCCTGCAAAATTCAAGGGCATCTGCAACAGATTCACTAAAAACTTGAACAGCCAGCTTAACTTTCATAATTTGTTTTCGGAAATTTATACGATTTTTTGATAATTTATTACCCAGATGAAAGCCTTCATTTTCTTGTAAATCAACAAGACGTTTTACATAGTCCCAGGATATTATCTCACCCTCAGCAGAAATTAATATATTTTTGTCACCTAGAGCATTCCGTACTAATTTTATCATGTGCGAAGGATCTAGAAATATAACAACTTTTTTTCCATTATGATAAAATGAAGTATCAAAATTATTAGCATCTCCATCTAACTTGCATCCCAAAACTTTAGCCATAGAAAAATTGGCGGCGCATCCGTCAAACGTTACAGATATTAAATTGATGCCACAGCCTTCTACAAGGTCAATACAGTGTTTGACAAGAGCAGCCTTTTGTTCTGCAGTGATGCTATTGATGTTAAAATAACCTATTGGTATTTTCCAAGTGCCGTTGACGAAGGTCAACATAAATGTCAATGCTTCCTTGGCAATCGGCAATTCATCATTTTCTACATTATTTCCAGTATTAGCAAAACCAATATAATTTTCTCCGTCCCACTCGACATGTTTACGGATCGCCATCTCATCGAAGCAAAGAGCGGCATATAATTGTTTTGAAGAATTTTTTACTAGGAGCTTAAGTGCATCCAAAGATTCCTTTGTAAAACCAGGTTCTCCATCGACGCATTGATACCAGCGTGTCAATGTCTGTGGGTGCGGCAAACAAGTATTAAAACTTTTTCGCACGAAGTCGTAAGCTCTAGGACTTATGAAGTGTAGAGTCAAGGCAAATTTTCTTAATACTGGAGAGTATTTTTTGCACGACGAAATGCCTAAAAATAAAAAAAGTTAATAAACTTAAAACAAATATAATGCAGTATGCAGCAGCGTATTTCGCACTAGCTGTTCCCTGCGACTTCGCCCGTTTGTAATTTAGGGTTTAATTATGTTGCGCGAAACTCTAATTATTTTTCTAAAATATAAGTAGCCTAAATTACTCCTTAAAACATCAGCTATCTACCAGGGAAAGTCCCGTCGAAATCGATCCAGCCGTTTCGCAGATTAGCCGGAACAAACAGACAGACAGACAAAAATTTTAAGAAATGTGTTTTTGTTATAAGTACCTTATATACTTTCATATGCATTCGTAAAAAGATGTTATTTTGACATTATAAACAGACACTTCAATTTTATTTATTTGTATAGATTATTACCTGCTACTCTTTTCAAAATATCCTTATTTATGGGATCTATTGATGCTAATGCATCAGCAGTTTCTTGATTTATAAGTGATTCAGCTTTTAAGACTTCTATCACCGATGAAAGATTGGCGTTCTTTTTTTGTAATCGCCATGATTTTGAACGAAGCACAGCAATTTTTTTCTTTTGTTTATTTGTTAAATTTGTTTTTTGTAGCAATTTATACTGTAATTTTCGTTTGCGCGGCGAAGTCTCTACTGGACTTTCCAACTGAGGCTAAAATAAAATTATCACTTCATAAATCGAAAATTAATAGAATAATTTTAATAAAAAATTTACCGTGTAGTGGTGGTGTAAGAATACAGTGAACATTCTAACACCGCCACTAGCGCAGAGTGTCCCTAATAACAACTAAAAATAAAAAAACTGCGGTTGCCGACCCACTTACCAAGCGTGGAAACTATGAAAAATATTCCCCCTATGAGGCAAGCTATAGGGGAGGGCTATGTTTAGCAGTGAACTTTAATAGGCTGTTACAGTAATGGTAATAATAAATTATGATAAATTTGATAAATGTGTACCTATATAATTTCATAGGCATTTAGTAAAAAGCTGTTATTTAGACATTACAAACAAATACTTCATTTTTATTTATTTATATAGACATAATATTCATGTATTAAACATATAAACCTATCTATAGATGAAAACCGTATCAAAATCGGTGGCGTAGTTTAAAAGATCTAAGCGTGCAGACAGCGGGAAGCGACTTTGTTTTATACTATGTAGAGATAGAGATAACTGTCTTTCCGTTCCATTAAAAGATAAGAGCGAATAGGCTTTTGTTACGCTAAAATAGTGCGATTACATAGATGTAGAGTTTAAACATGATGTATTAATCGTGAGCGATTTGGCCGTTTGACCTGGGTCTTGAAAGTGTATTGATGATGGCAACCATTTATTTCGAACGATCTGAAATAAACTATTGACAGAACCTCTTCAACCCGTGACCTGTGATTTGCGCGTATTGTGAATTACGCGACTAGTCGCTTCAACCAAACTGTACTAACATTAAAAGTGCAGAATACTATAGAATAAATATTGAAATAATAAAATGTATTTCCTTAAGTTCGATCATAACCTGCACTAGTAACCGACGAGCGACGACCAACTGAACGCAGTGGGTCTCAGAGATTACAGACTACTGAATTCCAAAATGATCCATTTGAATGATCGACCCAAATGACCCGTTTCATATGACGAATCAATACTTAACCAATCGGGTCACAAGAAATGAACGATTTACTTCTTATATCTACTTAGGTGGGAATGAAGCCAATCATGAGCTTATGCTTCATTAGAAATTTATTTTACTTACATTAACCGGAGTTTTTGTCATCTTTCTAGAGCACGCATTATAATTGTTGGTTTGAGTAGCTATAGAAATTCTCAAAGATTGAATTTGATTTCTACATTGGCATGGCAAAGATTCATGGGTGCTGGTTGATGGAATCGGATTCGAAGAGAGCGGTAGTTCCGGTTTGTTCTGAAGCAAAGAGAAAACAATGTTTGGAAGTACCTTAGGAAGGAATAATGTTTCAAAGTATTTTATAAACCTTTTTTTGTGTTTATTTATTTTGATTAATTATTTTGCGTTAATATTATTACAGAGTTCTTCTTCAATAACAGTCATTACTTATATATATATATATATATATATATATATATATATATATCATCATCATCATCATTACAGCCCTTTACAAGTCCACTGCTGAACATAGGCCTCCCCCAAAGAATGCCACAAAGCACGGTCCCGAGCCACCTGCATCCATCGACTTCCTGCATGTCTTACCAGGTCGTCACTCCATCTCGTGGGGGGACGCCCTACACTTCGCCTACCGGTACGAGGCTGCCACTCGAGAACCTTTCTTCCCCATCGGTTGTCGGTTCTTCGAGCTATATGGCCGGCCCACTGCCACTTCAGCTTACTAATCTGTTGGGCTATGTCGGTCACTCTGGTTCTACTGCGGATATCCTCATTCCTAAGTTTATCACGCAGAGAAACTCCGAGCATAGCCCTCTCCATAGCTCGCTGAGCGACCTTGAGCTTCCTCATACGGCCAGCAGTGAAGGACCACGTCTCAGTTCCGTAAGTCATCACTGGCAACACGCACTGGTTGTACAATTTCGTTTTAAGGTTTTGAGGTATGTCTGACGAGAAGATGTGTCGTAGCTTCCCGAACGCTGCCCAGCCGAGTTGAATCCGTCGATTGACCTCTCGGTCGAAGTTGGACTTACCTAGTCGGACTATTTGTCCCAGGTAAACATACTCATCAACAACTTCGAGCTTAGTGCTCCCAACAACTACCGGCATAGGTGTGACATGGACATTAAACATGATCTTTGTTTTGTCCATGTTCATCTTAAGACCTATCCGTTGGGAAACACTATTGAGGTCATTGAGCATAGTGCTTAGGTCCTCCAGCGATTCTGCCATAAGGACTATATCGTCGGCAAATCGAAGGTGAGTGATGTACTCGCCATTGATGTTGATACCGTATCCTTTCCAGTCCAGAAGCTTGAAAACGTCTTCCAATGCAGCGGTGAAGAGTTTCGGGGATATGACGTCACCCTGTCTTACACCTCTCTGCAATTGGATAGGTTTCGTATTCTGGTTCTGTACTCGGATAGCCATCGTAGCCCTACTGTACAAGCACTTCAACACTTCGATATACCGACAGTCAACTTGGCACCGCTGAAGGGACTGCAGCACCGCCCAAATTTCGACGGAATCAAAGGCTTTCTCATAGTCCACATACGCCAGACATAGTGGCAAATTGTACTCTTCGGACTTCTGTACAACTTGCCGAAGGGTATGTATGTGGTCTATGGTGCTAAAGCCCTTTCGGAAACCGGCTTGTTCGGGAGGCTGGAAGTCGACAAGTCTGCGCGCGAGACGATTCGTAATGACTCTCGAAAACAGCACGTAGACGCGGCTCAGAAGGGAAATCGGTCTGTAGTTCTTCAAGAGAGCGTTGTCACCTTTCTTGAAGAACAAGACCACCGCACTTCTGCTCCACGCCTCCGGTGTAATGCCACCATGGAGGACAGAATTAAAGAGCTTCTGAAGGACTTCAAGTACCGGTCTTCCACCCGCTTTCAGAAGCTCCGCTGTAATTCCATCCTCGCCTGGGGCCTTACAGTTTTTAAGGTGCTGGAGAGCCATACTAATCTCGCTCAGACTGACATCCGGGATATCTTCGGAATAGTGTCGGATGAGACTCGCTCTTGGATCGTTACTCACACTTGCGTGTGGCTCCAACGATGATGTGTACAGCTGCCCATAGAACCTCTCAATCTCACTCAAAATCTCAGGTGTCCCGGAAACGATGCTGCCACATTCTGTCTTCAGCTTTGACAGTTGGCTCTTTCTGGCAGACAGATCTCTGGCAAAGACTTTGGAGCCTTGGTTCCGTTCGATCGCTTCTTCAATACGAGCTGTATTGAAGTTGCGTAAGTCCCGCCGCATGCATTTGGAGATCTGTCTGTTCAGATGCCTGTAAGCTGTCAAGTCTGTTGAAGAATGTAGCTTCATCTCCCGTCTAACAGCCATGAAATTAAGAGTGTGATCGGAGAGTTTTTGTGTTATTCTGCGGCGGGTCTTGCAGAACTTAGCTCCGACCGCATGGACAGTTTCCACGAGCTTGTCATTCATATCGTCCACTTCATTGCAGTCTTCTAGGCACTGAAAACGGTTTTGTAACTCGAGTTGAAAGGTTTCGGGACTTTGGATTAGAGCACGAGGGAGACGGAGCGTTGACTTCATTAGACGAGACCTCTCCAACTTAACGTTTAGGTTCAGTGTGCCTCTAACCATTCGGTGATCGCTACCAGTTTTCACCCTCGCGATCACGGAGACATCACTGAACAGTTGTCGTCTGGTCGTCATAATGAAGTCAATCTCATTTTTTGTGGAACCGTCGGGGCTCGACCAGGTCCACTTCCTGTGGGGCCGCTTCTGGAAGAAAGAGTTCATCATAAAGAGTCCCTCTTTCTCCATGAAGTCGGCCAGCTGCTGGCCCCTTGGGTTCCGTTGCCCTATTCCAAATTTCCCTACTTTCAGCTCACCGTTCTCTCTTGTGCCTAGTTTTGCATTGAAGTCTCCCATTAACACCGTATATTGGGTTTTGGAGGAATGCATGGCTCTAGAGATATCCTCATACATTTCCTCCACCTCCTCATCGGGGTGTGCCGAGTTTGGTGCGTAAACCTGTATGACCTTCAGCGAATACCGTTTGGTGATTCTGAGTATAAGGTACGCAACCCTCGTCGACACACTCCCGATCTTTACAACGTTGTTAACGAGAGACTTGTGGACGATAAATCCGACACCTCCTTGGGACAGATGGTCGCCCTCCCGGTGATAGAGCAAGTTGCCGGATTCGAGGATTACCGTTTCCTCCCCCTCTCTTCGGACTTCGGATAATCCTATAATATGCCAGCGCAACTTGTCTATCTCTTCTTCCAGCTCCACGATCTTCTCGTCAGTCCTCAGGGTGCGTGCGTTGTACGTTGCCAGGTCGAGTCGTCTAAGGTGGCAACCGAACCTCCACCGGAGATTCTTAGCACCCCCTGCCCCGCCGTTACCATGGTCGCCACCGTAGCCAGGAATAGCGGGGCCGCCGGGGACTGGGGGCCGTTTCTTTGTTACTGTCATTCATAGGGGGGTATTTGCCATAGTTGCCACGCTTGGCGAGTGGGTTGGCAACCGCAGTTTTTTTATTGTAATTTGGCTATTATCAGGAAGATGCTGCTGCCCATCTCCTGCCTGTTTCCCTTTGTCGCCTTTTACGACACCCACGGGAGGATATGGGGTAGTGGATATTCTTGACCGCCACTACACGGCAATATATATATATATATATATATATATATATATATATATATATATATATATATATATAATTTATTTTTTATATATTTATAAATAGGTAGTGCCTATCTCTTGTCAAAACATCTTTATTACATTATTTAAGTCAACTAAATGGAATTTATCATAATTATAACATTTATTTATACTTTATTGTTTATAATATCTTAATAAAAAGGATTTCAAAGGGTTTTCCCTGATGTCAGTTTAACACTATTACTGCATAATAAATTGTTAGAATAGAATAGAATAATTTTTATACAATATAGTTGTAAAAGTGTATACATTGCCTCTTTGGAGTCAAGTAACTGGTATAACTAACTTGTGCTTGTTCCTAGCATTTAGAGAATGTACTATTTTTAATAAAAACTAACTGTTCATTTATATATTTAGGTCATGTCTTAATTTATTTTCTTGTGGCCAAACTCATGTGTAAGGCAATGTAAACAAAACAATCTTAATTATAAATTTTCTATTTATACTGAATTATTTTGATATTTACTTGATTTTGATAGTTACATATGAAAATTAACTGATAAAATTTTGACTTACATGTACATAGAGCTTTGGAATGGATCTCAAACTAAGCAACGTTAAACATTTAGTCCGCCTAAAACAATGTGGTTCAAAATGTTTTGAGCATACCCGGCTATGTTTTGTTGGTTGCCAATTATCACGACCGGTAGCAATTATCCAACAATTACGGATAGCTGATTCCTTAGGAAAGCTGTAAAATAATATATTTTAAGGAAATTAATATATTAAAAATATAGTACACTTTTATTACAAGGTTTTGATTTAGTAAATAATAAAAATTATATGTGCATAAAACCAATTATAACAGTAAACACAATATCAAATTATTTAATTAAGTAGCAGTGATATGTAAATATAATGATAATATTATTTATACCAAATATTTTTTAAATAATGTACATTTTAAACTTTAGATGTTGTTCATTAATACATTTATTATACAGCCTAACAAATGTCCCCCACAGCTGAACATAGACCTCTCCCATAGTCTCTCTGCAAAATAACAACTAAAGTTAACAAGAACTGCAGTTACCAATCCTCCTGCAAACCGAGGCAACTATAACATAATCTATATAACAAAATCTATATGGCAGGCTTATATTCAGCATTAAGATTTTATTATTTATTAATTTATTTATTTTTATAAATAAGTATGACATATATTTTTTTTAATAAATATTGTAATGTAATTGTTGCTAATGTATAATAGAATTAATGGACTGCAATAAAGTTTTGTGCATCTGATTTCAGGCAGAACATATTTTGTGACATTGACATTATTTTATCCAATATATATTTACTTGAACCAAAACATGTTTTCAGGTCTTATTAATACTTACTTACATATTAATAGTGACATCTATGTAATATAGAAAATCATTGAAGAGTTTTAGAGCAAGGCATGAAGGTATCTTTTAAAGCTGAACTTTAAAGTGTACATAAAGTGTATGTCATTAATTTATGGACATACTGATCACTCTAAAATTAATTTTGAAAATGGGAAAATATTGTACTCGCTGATATCCCTAAAGTTTCTATAATCCTACCAAATCAAAAAGCACATGTTTGATTAGACTTCAAATTTTCTAACGACCTTTCAAATTAATTAGCATTATCATGAAGAATTTATGATTTGGGAGTCCAAATATTTAATAAAATACTTTACAAAGGACATTAAAAACATGAAATGTTACATTTTTATATTCAAAACACTAGATAGTAATCAATACAAGTAGCAAATGTAAGCACAAAAGAAACTTACCGATGAAAGGTAATATTATCACTCTTTCGTTGACTGATGCTGTTGCATCCTAAAATGCTACAACTAACCATCTTTTTCACCTTACCTAATAACTAAAACCCACAAAAAACACAAAATTCAACTACCTGTTTGCTTATAATATCAATGTTATTCACAAACGCTTGACATCGTTAATGTCAAATAAAGGAGGGAAAACAATCAAAAACGCATACGTAGAAAAAGACAAGAAATTTAGATTTGCTTCTCCCTTACTCTTATGTCTAACTATATACGTGCATTCCTTTCACACGCTGATGACGTCACTGAATGTTTAGTCTATAAGATACTAGGTCTATGATTACATGCCTATAAATAATATGGATATGAACCGTTCACATACATACTACATAATATACACTATGGTCGTTCATAATGAACGACCATAGTGTATATTATTGTAACATACTGCCCAGGAATATAAAAACCATATTAAAAACAACAATAACATAACAATGGGACTAACTGTTACCTTCTCTTCTATAAAAAAATGAAGATTTTTATAGTGCCAACATTAAGCAACTGCCACAAAAATTGGTCAGTTGTCCCTTTTACTGGCAACCGCAGTTTATTTTTATTATGTTGAGTTAGAGTTCATACTCATCTCCTGTTTCTGTTTTCCAATGTAGGCTTCTAAGACATGCACGGTTTTTGTTTAGTATTTTAATAATTAAGTAACATCAGAAAACTTAAAAAAAACTTTCAGAATACGATATTTGTTATCTTAGTTTATAGAAATAAAACAAATTTTCGAGTAAAATACAGGAATTTAAAAATAATTTTTCATTACTTTGTGCTTAAGTTTTTTGTACTAATTTAAGACTTTAAACGCGTATAGCTGTATTGTATTTCTGGGCAGTACTCTTTATATTGTTTCACATTCAAATTGCACATTACGTACTACTAGTCACTACTATACACCATATATTTATGTCCATTCAAGTCGAGAACGCGGAAACATAGTGGCAACATTGTTCTAAATAAGCTGACAGTTGCTATCAAACACAATACAAATGTCAAAAATTGCTAAATGCTAAAATATTACATATTAATTTCTGGTAAAATAATAGCGTTCTTGTTTCAATAGTTTATTATATAAAAACATTGATTTTTAACACACACTGTTAAAAAAATTAAATGCAGTAGAATCTCATTATATCCAGAACTGCATTTATAATTGTCATTTTCACAGCGACCATCGCCACAGAATAATTCTGAATAGATCTAACTCTTTTGTTGTAATTCGAGAAAATCATTTTCTTTTGGTTACGGACTCATACGTACATGATATGAACATAAGACAAAAAAGAAATGCAAATATACTTGTATTATTAGGTGTATGTATGTATTCGAATTTATAATAAAATACCAAATAACATAAATTCACTTAATAAATTATTTAGGAAAAAAATATTGGTTTATCACAATGAAAAACAATTTATAAACATTAGGGACCTATTTATTAAATGTAACTAATATTTTTTTTAATTAATTAATCTAGAAAAATCTAAAAAAAAATTTTAAATTAAAAATCTGATTCTGTTGTATTGGATTAGATTTGTTTAGAAAAATTTCATTTGTAGTACTATCTATGTAAATTTATATGCTATTTACAATCACATAACAAAACATGTTATATTTTAAGAATTGTGTACCATCCTTATCTGTCCATGATAAGCAAATATAAGTAACCAGCTGGTACCCGGCGCGTTGCTGCCGCAGAAGAAATAATTGTGGTAATATCGTTTTAAATTGGGAAGAGTTATATTATTAGGAATGACAATGCATTCATTGATGTTGAATGATATATAACTTACAAATGTGTCGGTACTATACGCGTGCCACCTACTGTAAGTTAATTGAACTATGCCCATAACAACCCATACGTACCCAAGTATAAAATAATAATAAACATGCATTGTCCAGAAATTTGGGGATCTATGAAAACCGTAGTTAACACTTTCATTCGAAGTCAGATGTTCTGTAGGCAAGAAGCCAACTACAGCCAATACAACCAACCAAGCCCCATGATTCTTTTATACGATACTAACGTCACACAATTGTTTTGCCTTCCCGGAACACTTAAACTTTATGGTATGGTATTAAAGTTCAAATTGACTTTTAAGTATTATTACGAATCTTTTGTATGGGAATATAGAAAAGTATTGTTTTTACACTTTTTTAGGCAATTTTTTGAACTTTTCTCTCTGTAAGAACCATCTTCGTACTTCAAGGAATATTATAAAAAAAGAATTAGCGAAATCGGTTCAGCTGCTCTCGAGATTTGCGCTTAGCAACACATTCAGCGATTCATTTTTATATTATAGATAAATAAATAAAATACAATTAGTATTTTTTTTATAGGATAGGGTGACAAACGAGCACACAGTCCACCTGATGGTAAGCGATTGCTGTGGCCCATAGACATCTATATCTATCCTCGTCTGCGAATCAAAATGCAGATGCGTTGTCATCCGTGAGGACTAAGATAGAATGCCTCTTTTCCAGTAAAAAGGGTCTCCGGTTCTCTACACTCACCATACGAAACACAGCAGCAAGCTGCTATTTGACGCTGGTATTCTGTGATAGCGTGGTCCTTCCCCGTTCGAGTCGACCCATTCGTGCTACAACTATACTACTCGTACTAATATAGCTGCAGCATGGCTCTACCACGTTTATTACCAGTTTCCAGTATTTCTGCCTGTCAAGTAACTGAACATTATCGTTTTTAATAACTTATTAACAAAATAAATACTTCACAATATATTGATTCATTCTATTGTAAATTTTTAGGGAGACTGATGATAGCTTTAGCGGACAGTTGATGACGATGGTATTTCAAAATGCTAAAACTGAGGATCAAGTCACCATCGGAATACTTGTTTCGCCGTGTCCAAATAACACCATGTGCAGACATTTAATATACAATACCATCATGATCGAGTTCCGTAAGCCGACAAGCCGAAAGTTTTATCTCCATATGTGATAGTTTTGTACGGTCTTTGTTAAGGTTTTATTAACACAGCATGTAACGTTGGTTTATACATGGTAGATTCATACTGCAGCTATATTAGTAGTATAGTTCTAGCACGAATGGGTCGGCTCGACTGGGGAAGGACCACACTCTCACAGAATACCAGCGTAAAATGGCAGCTTGACACTGCTGTATTTCGTATGGCGAGTGTAGAGAACCGGAGACACGTTTTACTGGAAAAGGGGCATTCCATCTTAGTCCTCACGTGTGACGACGCATCTGCATTTTGATTAGTTATTGAGGATGGATATAGATGTCTATGAGTCACAGCAACCACTTACCATCAAGTGGACTGTGTGCTTGTTTGTCACCCAATCCTATAAAAAAATGTACCTATACCAATATATTGAGTCCGAAAATAAATGATAAATAAAATTAAAAAAAATACTGTCAGTCGTAGGACTGCACGTCAGTAGTGAAAAGTTCCTAGCTTCACAAACTTTTTTTATATATCTATCTGAGCGTGACAGTCACGCGAGTTCAGTCGTTTCCCCATCGTGCGCAACGTGCCTAAAGATGTTTTCACTCCAATAAAATATAATCTGTGAGTGTAAACTTAATCTGTCAAGTTGTACATAAGTTAAACGATAACTAACAGACTCACCAAGTATTCTTTCACCTTTATCAATGACGGATTAACGAGATTCTACTGTAATATTATTTACCTCCATACCAAAAAAAAATTTGTACTAAATAGCTTATATGACATTTTATACATGCAATGATCTTATTATGGCAGCTAGTTTTATGTTTCGTTCGTCAAATTTTAATGGTGGTTAGTTTGAGACGAACGATTCCTAACATATTTCGCGAATACTAAACTGCGTAACTCTACCAACAGCATCCTAATCACACTTGCTGATAGGTGGGACTCAGCCATTATGAGGCATTGGTTAAGTCTACATGTAAAACTAAATAAGTAAGATATATGTAATGTACGCGGGATGGTTAATTGGTTAAGGTAAGAATATAAAGAAAAAGAAGTCATATACTAACACTAGTCTTATTTTTTTTTATTTATTATTAATATTATTATTATTATTGTTATACTAACATCTCTATGGACTGAGTCTGAATAAAATATTATTATTATTATTATTATAAACACTGATTCAAACTGATTTCACGGAATTGATCGCGATTCTAGACATTTTGAGTACAATAGTATTCAAATAAGAATAGCAACGTCAATGACCTCGAATGAAAACAGTAGTGCTGATAATGATTACAATGATGACGACTCAGACAGCGATGCAGAGATGGCCGAAATTGAAACGCTAGATTCAGATTTCCCATTCGTGGTTCTTTTGTAAATAAATATAATTTTAAAACATCTGTTTTGCTCACCCTACCAGATTTGAATTGACAGCTATGACGTCACAAATATGGCGCCAATTCAGAAAGAAAGAAACATTTATTGCAAAGGTCAGTCCTATTGTTATTTGAATCACATAGTACTTTACATGTACACAGGAGAGTAAGGGGCAGAAGAGTTTAATGTTCTGATGTCACAGTTTAACCCGGGCTAATTCCCACCCCAACTCTCGTTCCGTAAAATTAGTTTCATTCAAGAAAACAGACGAGCTACTTACAAATAGATTATGATTCAATTCATAAAATGTTTATTTAATATCCTAAAGAATTAATAAGCACGGCCCACACACGAACAGTTGACCAAAGGTATTATAAACCCGTCATGACAAATATTTCCATCTACATATTATATGTGGAGAGAAGATACACAATATATGGGATTCATATATGAAATACATTTTATATCATTAAAACACTGCAGCCTGTAAGTATAGCACAGTTCACACCAGCATTAAAAATCCTTTATAATGCTGGTGCTACGCTATTTAATTTGCTTAGGCCCAGTAAACGTCCATTAATTTCGTGAGGCGATATTCGCGATTTGTCTACCCTCCCTCTCCTCCTGGTGAGATGTCATGAGACATTTCTGGACCCCTCACCATCAACTCCCCAAAACCTTACTTTAGA